AATACATTGGAAAAAACTATTTAGTCACCACATAAAGAAACCATTTAAATCTAAATTTAAGCTTACAATATATAAACTTGTGTTTTACAGGAAATGAATATAATCACAACATGGAAACCAGAAACACAATTTCAATAGAAAAAGCTTATAATTTTAGAGCCAGAGGAATTAGCGAAAATAATATTTTTGACAAACAAAAGATTTTCTTAAAAAACAACAAATAGTCTAGTAGCCCCTTAAAGACTAACAAAATAACCAATAAGTTTCTGGACTGCATTGGAGACAACTTTCTGTTTCAGAAGGTTGAAAAAGCTACCAGAGGAGAAGCTGTTCTGGATTTGATTTTAACAAATAGGGAGGAACTAGTTGAGAACTTGAAAGTGGAAGACAGTATAGGGGACAGTGATCACGAAATAATAGAGTTCATGATCTTAAGGAAAGGTAGAAGGGAGACCAGCACAATTGAGGTAATGGATTTCAGGAAGGCAGATTTTGATAAGCTCAGAGAACTTGTAGGTAAGGTCCCATGGGAAGCAAGACTGAAGGAAAAAACAACTGAGGAGAGTTGGAAGTATTTCAAAGGGACGTTGTTAAGGGCCCAAAAGCAAACAATTCCGCTGTGTAGGAAAGATAGAAAATATGGCAAAAGACCAGCTTGGCTTAACAAGGAGATCTTGCATGATCTCAAAATAAAAAAAGGAGTCATATAAAAAATGGAAACTAGGACAAATAACAAAGGATGAATATAGGCAAGCAACACGGGAATGCAGGGGCAAGATTAGAAAGGCAAAGGCACAAAATGAGATCAAACTAGCTACAGGCATAAAGGGAAACAAGAAGACCTTTTATAAATACATTAAAAGCAAGAGGAAGACCAAGGACAGGGTAGGCCCACTGCTTAGCGAGGAGGGAGAAGCAGTAACAGGGAACTTGGAAATGGCGGAGATGCTCAATGACTTCTTTGTTTCGGTCTTCACCGAGAAGTCTGGAGGTGTGCCTAACGTAGTGAATACAAGCAGAGAGAGGGTAAGTTTAGAAGATAGGATACACAAAGAACAAGTTAAAAATCACTTAGGAAAGTTAGATGTCAGCAAGTCACCAGGTCCTGATGAAATGCATCCCAGGATACTCAAGGAGCTGATAGAGGAGGTATCTGAGCCTTTAGCTATGATCTTTGAAAAATCATGGCAGACAGGGGAGATTCCAGAAGACTGGAAAAGGGCAAATATTGTGCCCATCTATAAAAAGGGGAATAAGAACAACCCAGGAAACTACAGACCGGTCAGTTTAACGTCTGTCCCAGGGAAGATAATGGAGCAGGTAATTAAGGAAATCATATGCAAACACTTGGAAGGTAATAAAGTGATAGGGAATAGCCAGCATGGGTTTGTGAAGAACAAGTCATGCCAAACTAATCTGATAGCTTTCTTTGATAAGATAACGAGCCTTGTGGATAAGGGAGAAGCGGTGGATGTCATATACCTAGACTTTAGTAAGGCATTTGATACGGTCTCGCATGATATTCTTATTGATAAACTAGGCAAATATAACTTAGATAGGGCCACGATAAGGTGGGTGCATAATTGGCTGGATAACCGTAGTCAGAGAGTTGTTGTTAACGGTTCTAAATCCTGCTGGAAAGGGATAACAAGTGGAGTTCCTCAAGGGTCTGTTTTGGGACCCATACTGTTCAACATCTTCATCAATGATGTAGATATTGGGATAGAGAGTACGCTTATTAAGTTTGCAGATGATACCAAACTGGGTGGGGTTGCAACTTCTTTGGAGGATAGGGACATAATTCAAAATGACCTTAGCAAGTTAGAGAAATGGTCAGAGGTAAACAGGATGAGGTTTAATAAAGAGAAATGCAAAGTGCTCCACTTAGGAAGGAACAATCAGTTCCATACATACAAGATGGGAAGCGACTGTCTAGGAAGGAGCATGGCAGAAAGGGATCTAGGGGTCATAGTGGACCACAAGTTGAATATGAGTCAACAGTGTGATGCTGTTGCAAAAAAAGCAAATATGATTCTAGGTTGTATCAACAGGTGTGTTGTAAGCAAAACTCGTGAAGTCATTCTGCCGCTCTACTCTGCACTAGTTAGGCCTCAGCTGGAGTACTGTGTCCAGTTCTGGGCGCCACATTTCAAGAAAGATGTGGAGAAATTGGAAAGGGTACAGAGAAGAGCAACAAGAATGATTAAAGGTTTAGAGAACATGACCTATGAAGCCAGGCTTCATGAACTGGGCTTGTTTAGTTTGGAAAAAAGAAGATTAAGGGGGGACATGATAGCGGTTTTCAAATATCTAAAAGGGTGTCACAAGGAGGAAGGAGAAAATTTGTTCCTCTTGGTTTCTGAGGACAGGACAAGGAGTAATGGGCTTAAAGTGCAGCAGGGGAGGTTTAGATTGGACATTAGGAAAAAATTCCTAACTGTCAGGGTGGTCAAATATTGGAATAAATTGCCAAGGGAGGTGGTGGAATCTCCCTCTCTGGAGATATTTAAGAACAGGTTAGATAGACATCTGTCAGGGATGGTGTAGACAGAGCTTGATCCTGCCTTGAGGGCGGGGGGCTGGACTCGATGACCTCTTGAGGTCCCTTCCAGTCCTATTATTCTATGATTCTATGAAAAGCATGAGTGGCGTGGAGAGGGTGCATAAAGAAAAGTTCTTCATAAGTCCAGATCCAAGAATAAATAAGGGAAGGTGGGGGGGAGAAGAAGGAAAAGATTTTCTAACAAGCACAGAAGATGCTTAATACAAGCAATAGTACAGTAGCATGTCATTAAGCCATACAAATGATTTTGAGACCCTCTGTGGATTACCACATTTTATACATTTGCAAATAACTGACAAATACCATGAAAAAAATAAAGGATGCTGAATTAATAAAATTTTATTGTCCATATATTTTATGTTAATTATTTATGAGACTTCATAGCTATAAAGATAATCAAAATTCAGTCCTTTAAAGCCAATAAATTGATGAAACAGCACATTAGCAAAGAGATAGATTGTGCAACTCTTACTCGTACCGATAAGCACTTATTGTATCAATCAGCCCCATTATCATAAATAGGATAATTTTTAAAATAAATGCTCATCAATGTGAGTAAGGATTGCACAATCCAGCCCAATGAAAAGGCAAAGAACCGTTTGCTGAAAATTCTAATGGAAACAAAAGAGGTTGGAATGTACTGTTTGGAATTAGCAAGAATTTTTTTTATTTCTCTTAAACAACATACCCCGATATCTTTTTTTTTTTAATCTAAAGGCTCTCAGGAGTAAGGGGAATAGAGAATACTCATATCTGTAAGCAAAACCAAAACACAGCTATTCTTTGTGAGCATTCATGGGTAAAATTGCATTTCTCATGTGCTTCCTACCAGATAGATGTAACTAGCCATGTATTTTGACCTTTTGTCCCACTGTTAATTTACTTATGATGGACTATTGACCATGCTTAGTGTAGAATAAAACTATGCTAAGAGGAAAACTGGCCTTGAGGTATCGCTTGCTGTTATAAAATCACATGATACCCCACAAGCAACATATTGGGCCAGAGGGATAATTAATCTTAAAATGCCAATGGCAGTAAAAATCAGTTTGATTTATAAAAGACAACTCATTTTACTAATGAAGAAATGTCTGGAAAATGTAGACCATGGAAATGTACGATGGACTTAGAGACTCTGATATCTAGCCTAACTACTATGCTAATAGCAGTAAACAGTAACTGACAATTTAAACACATTGGCTAACAATGAGAATAATGTGAGGTGTAATGGAAGGGTCAGAATTCTTAATATCCCTAAGGCAGGTTCTTGCCCCCCCAGTCAAGTGGTGCAAAAGAAATGGCAATTTACCCTGTCTTCCCTGTTTGGATTGGGAATCTCGAATAGGTGTAGAATTGGCAGAGCTAGCACAACTCTTGGTATGGGTGGCAAAGAGGAGAAATAACCAGAGTGAGATGTTTTCTGGATACCAGAAAGAAGGTGGCCCTTTATGTCCATACTGTTTTAAAACTTACCGTAGTGAATCTCAGAGACCAGGTCTACAGATTCAGGTCAGGGCTATGGTGCTAAAAACTGTTGTGTAGATGTTTAGGTTTGGACTAGAGCACAAGTTCCTAAATCCAGATATGGGAGTGGGTTTCACAGAGCCAGAGCTCCAGTCCAGGCCACAATATTTTTGTGCCATAATGTGAGCCCAAGTCTGTAGACGCAGGCGCTGAGATTCACTGCTGCAGGTTTTAATATGCAGTGTATACTTACCCTTATGAACCACTGCCAGCTGGGCCAAGTTTAACCAGAGAATCAGGGCACTGTAACCAGCTCCTTGACCACATCTCTACTTTACTGCAATCAGCATAAGTTGGCCACAATAGAGTTTTAATATAAACACAGACAGACAACGAGCAGATCTTATGCCCCAGATGTCTTAAAGAAAAACTGTATTTTCACTGTAGGGGGGTCATCTAATAACTTTATTCAGAGAGGAAGGATGGTGCAGTAATTAGGACACTAGCCTGGGACTCAGGAAATTTAGATACAATTTTCTGCTCTAGCACAGACTTCCTGTATAACCTAACAGCCTAATGTTAAAAAGTGTTTAGGTACCTACTGTGGATTTTAAAAAGTGCCCAGGTGCTTAATTTCCATTTATTACAATGGGACTTAGGCACTTTTCAAAATCTCATTAGGTGCTTATCTGCATCTTTTATGCAGATAACTGTGAAAAAACCTGGCTCTTACTCTCGTGACTCAGTTCTCAGTGTAAAATGGAGATAATAGTACAGTCAGGGACACTGAGAGGATAAATATATTACAAGATTGTGTAGCATTGAAAGACTGCAGAAAGAGGGGCTAAATATATAAGACATGATCCAATTACAATGTAAACTTGATTGTAAATATAAAAAATAGATAATTAACAATCAGAAAATGAGCTAATATTTTGCCAATAATGATATAAATTAGGACAAAGGAAATACAGCTCACCATGTCAATGCAAGACAAAGACTTAGAATTGTCTAGACTAATTCTTATGATTTGTATTAACATTTTCTATTTGTTAATATAAGAGTTTGTGTTTTTAACCAGCTGCCTATTTGAGAGAGTGCAAAAGCTGTACTGGTTCCTGTACCATCATTTATATCATTATGCAAGTAATAGGATATTGATAGTAAAGTGTTAGGTCATTGATTTATTCAGGTTATAAATAAATGAACAGCTGTCTAATATGCAAACTCTTGCTTATTCCTCTAAATTAAGACTCAGATGGAGGGATTAGTTGTATTCCCTCTAAGTCATCTTTAAGAATTTTTAAGGGAAATTATAACATGAGGAGATAACATGATGATTATTTATTAAGGAGGAATTTTAATCCACACTGATACTGATTATTTATTTATACATAATGCCTTCTTTAGTTGTACCAGAACTACCAGACCTTTTACCTTAATGGAAAGACAACAGAACCATACTTTTCTATAATAATAGAAATGTAGCCATGTTAGTCTGGTCTAGCTGAAACAAAAAACAGGACTATGTAGCACTTTAAAGACTAACAAGATGGTTTATTAGGTGACACTTCGCCAAAGAATCAATGCACACAAAACAGATACTACACAGGATCACAAAGAAAAAACAGTTTCTTGCCATTTCAACCAGAAAGGGCATTGTCCCAAGGACTTAACTACCTGCATCCTACTTCAAAGACATTTTAACTGTCCGTCCGCTATGTACATTGGACAAACATCTCAGACACTTCGCCAAAGGATCAATGCCCACAAAACAGATATTAGACAGGATCACAAAGAAAAAACAGTTTCTTGCCATTTCAACCAGAAAGGGCATTGTCCCAAGGACTTAACTACCTGCATCCTACTTCAAAGACATTTTAACACTAGACTTGAAAGACAATCCTCTGAACTGTCATTCAGGCTTAAATTTGGAACTTTACACCTAGCTCTTAACAAGGATGCTAATTATCGTACCCATTACAAAGATAGCTTAAAATTTTAAAATGGAGATTGCTTATCTCCTAGAACTGGAAAGGACCTTGAAATGTCATTGAGTTCAGTCCCCTGCCTTCACAGCAGGACCAAGAACCATCCCTGGCAAATTTTTGCCCAAATCCCTAAATGGCCTCCACAAAGATTGAACTCACAACCCTGGGTTTAGCAGGCCAATGCGCAAACCATTGAGCTATCCCTCCTGTCTCTTCCCCTGTTGTCACCTCTAATATTAGCTCAAAGACACTTATCTCCCCCTCATCCCCCTTCTATTCTGAAATTTGATTTGTCCTTTTCATATGTGTTCTTTTTTTTTTATTGTATCCTTTGGTACATATGGTCATGCCAATTTTCTTCCACTATTTGATCTGAGGAAGTGGGTCTGGCCCATGAAAGCTCATCACCTAATAAACCATCTTGTTAGTCTTTAAAGTGCTACATAGTCCTGTTTTTTGTTTCATACTTTTCTATCTGTCTTTAAATGTTTAAGACAAATCAATGTAAAATTATATTTTAATTCTTACTTCTGTCCTCGATGTACTCCTCCCAATTAAATGTGCTCACTGTTGTATTAACAAATGTTCCATTTTCTCCTATTGTGCTATTAAAGTAGGAAATAACATTTATTTCCAAAGTTGAGTTGTCTGGAGGCCACTGCAAGCATTTGTGCCTCAAGTTACCCATGAACAGCTGCAGCCCTATTAGTGCAAATACACTGAGACAAAACACAGTCAGGATCATGACATCCGAGAGCTTCTTCACAGACTGAATTAGGGCTCCCACAATAGTCTTTAAGCCTGAAAAAAGAAAAGGATTTTTATTACGATGTTAAACATATTCTAAACATATAAAATATTATGTGTTTTTCCTGATAAGATACAGATTTCATGCAGAATGACAAATACATGATACTAATGTTAGTGATACAGTAGATTTTATGAAAAGCCTGATTGCTTGTGATGATGAATGAAAAGCTCTATAGGTTTATGTGTATTTCAAATTTGTGTATGGAAATAAAAAATATATATTCCCAAACACATCACTAATGCCAAAAACAAGTAATTTTATTATTCATGCTATATCCCAGCCCTATAAAGAAAATGTATCTCATTTTCATTTGCTGATGTTTCTTGCCCAAACCTTTATTATATTGTTTTGTTTAAAAAAATTTACATTGATAAGACAGCAGAAAAGATCTTATTATGTACTCATAATTTAAGGATACAGTGTTAAATCTTACATTTTAGTGCAGGTCATGGTTTGGAGAAGAAAGACATCTTTTAAAAAAATCACCCATGCATGCCCATGCTATCCTTTATAGTTTTATTTCTTTATATTAAATTTTAAGACTGACCCAAGTGCTTGCAACAAATGATAAAATTTGCATCAATATGAAAGCCTTAAGACTAACTTTTAAAAAATGCATAAAGGAAAGCTTGATGTCATAAGATGCAAATCACATAGGCTGTTTACTGCAAATGTCTCATGCAACAATCTGTTAAACTCAAAGGCTGATTCTGAAAAATAAAATATTGCTAATATTAAAAAAGCAAAAAACAAACTTAAATAAATTTAATTTTGATTCCTGCTTTTTATTTTGTTTATAATGTGTAGCAAGCAACAAGGCTTATGCTTATAAGGTGTGATTAAAGCTTCAGTGGAATTAAATTCAGCCTCAGTGTTTAACCTAGCTCTCACCTGGAATGACTGATATTGTTTTCAATGCTCGGAGAACTCTGAACGTTCTCAACGCTGAGACATTGCCCAGGTCCACAAACTCTGTCACATATCTGTAATAGGGGAGTTCACACACAAACACAATGACAACACACAGATAACAGTTGGAGATACAAGGGGCCTATCACCTCACACCAATTACTTCTTACCTGGAATTACAGAAATAGTTTTCAAAGCTCTCAATACTCTGAAAGTTCGAAGAGCTGAAACATTGCCTAGGTTTACAAATTCTGTTACATACCTGTAGGATTAAATCACAGTTATTCAGAATTTAGGCAGATTTTATGCTACTTACTTGGGTCTTTCATCAAGACCTCTTCACCTTTCATTGTTTTTTGCCTTGTATTATTAATATGTTTTCCTGACCATCAAATTAAATTTAAATGTCACTGAAGTAAACCACACTGATTTTAATTTTGAACACCTAATTTGGTAACTTTGTGGCATGAAGTCAAAGGGATCGCTTCCATTCTGGTAAACAGAAAGAAGACAGGATATGAAATTAGCTTCTTTTGAGAATATAAACCAATATTAGTCTCAATATTAGTGGCTGACACACCATTCTGGTTTCTGCAGCATGTTTAATTTTGAAATATTAAAATATGCAGAACATGTAAAAATAATTTTGAAACAACAGGAAATCCATGCTCCAAAAATTCTGCCTTTTAAAATATGATGTAATTTGTAGCCACTAATTTCATACCCTCATAAAGGTTAAAAATTGTTGAAAGACTTACGCAAATGTAATGACAGTGAAATCTAGCCAATTCCATGGGTCTCGAAGAAAAGTAAAATCTTCTAAACAGAAGCCCCTTGCAAGAATTTTTATAAGTGATTCAAAGGTATAAATTCCAGTGAATGTGTATCTGAGGAAAATATTGAAGCAAAAGTTATTAGAGACAAATATTAGTGTCACATCATTTCTATTTGCATTACTATTTATAGTTATTTGATTTGATTTATTTTCTTCTTTAAATGGTGTTGATAAAACCAACTTTAAAAATCTGCAGAATTATGTGTTTGAGAAAAAGAATCAAAATCTGAATATTAAAATATATTATACAATTCTGCACTTGCAAGTGATGTTTAGGATCAAGCATTTGTTTCTGGCCAAAACTGAGTATTTTGGTAAACGTGATGAAAACCCATTTCACTCTGGGTTTATGTAATTTTTTTTCTTCCACTACAAAAAAATTTATTGCCACTCTTTTTTCACTCATTCAGCTCAAAAGTAACCAACAGCACCCAGCTCTCACTTCTTTCTACAAGCAGAGGATAGCCAAAGAATGAAGATTTATCTTGGGAAGGTATTGGAGAGAGAAAACCAACTTTGTGACACGTTCTCTTTCTGCTCCCAGCTTTTTAGGAGACCAACCATGGGGATTCCACTGACATATGGACCCACAGCTGGGGAGGAGGGTTTTTGCTGACCATAGTCTGCCATATTTTTCCCCCTGCCAAAACCACAAAAATCATAGAGCTCACAAGAGAGTAAGTTGCATGAGTGCAGTCGATGCACTGTGAGTCGCTCTCTACCCATGAAGATTCTGTGAGAACCCTTGATAACATTTGGGAGCCTGCAGGAATTAAAGGAGAGCTGAAGTCTGCTTCCATGTTACTACATGTTAAAACTTTTTGAAAGAAAACCTGGCCTATTGGAATTTATGAGAATTATGCCATTGATTTCAGTTGTACCAGGATTTCACTAACCAGGTGGCTATTGTTCAAAAAAGTAATGTAATAGTGTGGTCATTCAGCAGCATTTAAGGACTATAAAAGATTTTCCTTTCTCAAACAGAACAATCAAGCTAACATTTTTCAAAAACAAGAAGCCTCATGGAGAACAGTAGTTTCCAATCTGTGGTGTACGGGTACCAGTCATCCACAGAGCACCTGCTGCTGATCTGTGGAGAGCTGGTTGTTCACAGACTGTGGATCATCTCCTCCTATTTTCCAGGAGTTAAATCAAACAAAAAGAACTGTAAATCCACGAAATACTTTTTTATTATTACTTTTTAATATATGCAAGTGCCTTAGTTGTCACAAGGACAGGGTGACCAGACAGCAAGAAAAATTGGGATGGGATGGGGGTGGAGTGTGGCAGGTAATAGATACCTAATAAGACAAAGCCCCAAATATCAGGACTGTGCCTATAAAATTGGGACATTGAATCACCCCACATGGGATGTTATTTGATTGCTAGGGAAAGGAGGTTTGCCAGGTTGTGTACAAAACACATGGTAGTTCATGATATAATCTATTGACATGTTTACTGCACAATGAAAAATACTGATAACCCACAATAAGCAAAAAAGGGGTTAATACGTGCTATCATTACATATATATAACACCACTGAAATTAATGAGAAATCTGTGTATAAAAAGACTGATATATAGAACTTATATGACCTTAGAGCAATAGTGTCATAGAATAGTTGCTGTCAATTCACATTATCTTAAAAAATAAGGTCACTTATAGAAGCTATATCATATTTATGAAAATATTTTAAAAAATGCATTTAACTTACTCTACATTCTTTGTCCAATCCGGAGGGTTACTCATAGTCATAAATACACAGTTGGTCAATATAGTGCACATAATAAGCATGCTGAACAATGTGGATCAGAGTCAAGGATCATATATCAGAAAAATCTTAGCATAACAGTATCATATTTAGATCAATGTTTTAACAAATTTTCATTATTAGGAACTATTAACTCCTTTACTACTCTGTTGATGCTTAGGGTAAAACCTCAGAATTTTCTTAATTATTGCACTATAGTTATTAGGAGGAACTACTGAACAGGAGCAGCTCACAAGAGAGTTTGGTGAGGGAGTTCTCCAGGTGAAGGAGTGGAGAATATGTGACCTTTGGGTTAAGTTTGTTGTCTATATGTGTGTGTCTGTGTTTGTAGTGTGATTGCTGCTTGACTAAAATACAGAGTGTGGTCTGTTTGTTTGTTTGATGGATCATGTGCTGATCATATGTGTGTGCTGAGTCAGGTGCCTGCTAGGCAAGGCAGAGAGCTGAGAGATGCTTAATGAGGCTTTTATCCCTAAGCCTTTTAGCTCCCATCAACCTTTAACTAGGGGGAGGGGACTACTCAAGAAGAGTAGGCTTTAAAAAGTTCATTCCTAAGTGATCAGAGGAGCTAGCAAACAGGAGCTTTGTGAGGGAGATTAGATAGAAAGCATGGAAGTGGGAGGCTAGATACACTTAATATTCTTTAAATGTAAAATCCAAAACACCTCTCAATAAAAACAAAACAATACCACAGAATTCGCTTCAGGAGTTAAAAGATAATTCAGGCAGAAGTACAGTCACAGACTGCTGGCCAGGAGATTATGAATGCAGTCTATAAAATGATGACTGAAGTGAAGAAAGTGAATAAGGAAATGTATGTACTTGTTCCCATAATAAAATGATTAGGGATCTCCAAACAAAATGAATAGGTAGCAGGTTTAAAACAAACACAAGGAAATATTTCCCCACACAATGCACAGTCACCCTATGGAACTCCTTGCCAGAAGATGTTGTGAAGGCAAAGGCTACAAGAGGGTTCAAATAAGATCTAGATACATTAATGGAGGATAGGTCCATCAATGGTTATTAGCCAGGATGGGCAGGGATGGTAGCCTATTTGCCAGAAGCTGGGAATGAACAATAGGAAAAGGGTCAGTTGATGATTATCTGTTCTATTCATTTGCTCCAGGCCACCTGACACTGGCCACTATCAGAAGCTGGATATTGGGCCAGATGGACCTTTGGTCTGACCCAGTATGGTTGTTCTTATATTCTTAAGGTCATAGAGTATCATGATCCATTGAAATAAAAAAAATACAGGACTATGTAGCACTTTAAAGACTAACAAGATTGTTTATTAGATGATGAGCTTTCGTGGGCCAGACCCACTTCCTCAGATCAAATAGTGGAAGAAAATAGTCACAACCATATATACCAAAGGATACAATTAAAAAAAAAAGGTAAATGTCTGTGAGCTAATGGTATTAGAGGTGGGGAAAGGTAAATGTCTGTGAGCTAATGGTATTAGAGGTGGGGAAAGGTAAATGTCTGTGAGCTAATGGTATTAGAGGTGATAATTGGGAAAGCTATCTTTGTAATGGGTAAGATAGCTAGGGTTTTTGTTGAGACCCACGCATAGAGTGTCGAATTTTAGCATGAATGACAGTTCAGAGGATAAAAAAGTCTGAGATAAAGAAAACTGAAGTTATAAAAAGAGATGATAGATGATATTTTAATTAAAATTGAGTGATCTGAGAAGGGCTGAATGGTAGTGCAATCTTTCATGTCTCAAGATATGGACACAATTGTAGTTTAGCTCAGAAGTGTCAAACATCTACATTTATAGTTTCTTCCCAATATTCCTATGCTGCAGAAAAAACATTACATATATTGGCACATTGTACTGTCTCTGTTCAGGGCTATAATATTACATATATTGCAAGGCATGCTTACAAGACATTGGAAGAGAACAAAGAAAAATTTGTCCCATACGTGATGGGGAAGCAAGAATGACACCTGCTTGTGATATATTTGGCTTTGATTATGTTAAAAGGTGTTGACACTAAATTCTCTTCTCACTAATACTGATTCAGAGTAAACGTTGAAACAAATCCAAAATATTTTCATGGACTTTGATGGAGTTTATCTGGATTTAGTTTCCCATTCACTATCAGAAGAGATACCCTCTATAGTCCAGTATACATTAAAGTACACCAAAATGAAAAATCTACAGACATATGATATATTAAATGGCCACATGATGGCACCAAAAGCTAAAAAATGTTAACAGCAGTTGTATTTTAGAGACTGAGAACTGCTTTACTCTGTGGCCTATGCCTAAATTATTGGGGCAGATGATATTCCTGCTCAGGAATACCAGCATTAGGAACAGCAAACAACGTTCCTTGTAAGCTGTGCCCTTGTGCGGCTACTCCAGAGAGATTCAAATACTGTCCAGCTGATGAGCAGAGCATCCACAACTAGGTTTTTTGTTTCTACCAGTGGTGTATGTTCACACATGTCTTGGTGCATATATTAACCTATTCTGCACATGGATGAAAAAAATCCACACATAGATGGAAAAAATTGGAACATTGATAGCGAGAACTGTGATCTTCTCCTCATGGAGTTTCCCTTGAAATCTTTGATACAATTGTGAGGGGGTAAGATTTCCAGCAGTACACTTTCTTCCCCCAAGACAGAAGCTTAGGGTCTAGCTCTTAAATTACTCCTCTTTTTTTCTACTCCAACATTGTCACAGGATAGCTGGTCCCTGTGAACAGACTAGGCCTAGTTACCCTGTGTGAGATTAGGTGGGGCCACTGAAGCTAACGTTAAGTGGACAGGGATATATCTAGGGCAATAAAATTCTGTTAGAAGACAAGAAGAGAGGGAGAGAAAGTTGGACAAGTCTAGGCTAGATTGTTTCTAGGACTAGAAACAGAACAGTGGTGGGGTCCTGGAGTGGTGGAGATCTGAAGCAAAAAGCCAGGTGTCAAGGAGGCCTTTGAGCTACTGTTGCAAAAGACTAAGAAAGGCACTGAATAATAACTGGTGAAGATGAAAGCTGGCCAGGACTGGGAAGCTGCAGGAAGAAGTCAAACCAGAGATCCCTCAGAAGAGAAATTATTAAACTCCAGGACAACCCCAAGACAAAGGGTGAGTTGAAGGAGTGGTTTTGTTTGTTTGTTTGTCTAGAGATAATAAACCTATTTAAAGGTGACTGGGTATGGCAGTGAATTTTTCCAACCTGTACTCCTAGGGGAATTCTGCACAGCTGTGAAATGCAGACTTTCACAGAAATTAATGTTGTGCATGCATAATTTCCTTTCCTCCAAAGAAATGGGATGTAGTGATGTTGGCTGCCACTAGGGGCTGCTGGACCTGGCAGAATTCAACTCACAAACAGAAGACACTGCCAGAGAGAGGGAGCTGGGAGGGTCCCAGCAGTTGCATGCTCTGAAGCAGGGGTGGGCAAGATTCAGCCCATGGGCCACATCCAGCCCACCAATCCATTTCATCTGGCCTGCGGCTTGCCCTGCAGTGCCCCTGTCCCCAGGCTAATCGAGAAAGATAGCTGGAGGTTCTGTTCAAAATGGCTGCCTTTTCCCCCTAGGAATCATGTGACCAAACTGGGTGAGGACAGAAGACTTTGTGTGCTCCCCCGCCCCCAGGCCCATGAAGGTCTCCTCCTGCGAGGGGTGAATGGAGCCAGAGGAAACTGCCAGCTGTTCAAAATGGCTGGAGGCTCTCTCCAGGAAGGGCAGTGTGGGGAGAGACCTCACGTGCTCCCCTACTCCCAGGCCAATAGGAACCTGGGGGAGGGAGACTTCTTACGCTCTCCTCCCCCTGCCAGGGGCATGCAGCACCAGAGAGAACCACCAGCAATTCAAAATGGCTAGCAAGTTCCCTCCGAGTATCATACTCCCCACTCCACAGGGGAGCACACAAAGTTTCTTCCCCGTACATTCAGTACCTAGAAGGAACCACCCCTGCCAGCTGAGACCCCAGACCTTTAAGGCTCTGCCCCTCTTGGGACCGGCTCACAATGACTAACAACATTGGTGAAGTGGCCTCTCCCCCCAAAAAATTATTGCCCACCCCTGCCTTGAAGGAAGGAGGTGGCAATGGTGCTCAGGAAACTCCACACAAGCCTGAGATGAAGTATGACACTGCTTGTCCCTCTGGATCCCTGGCATCTGAAGGTTGGAAGGGTGGTATCTGGGTAAGGGGGGCCATAGCTGGACTCAGGAGGGGGAGTTCAGGTGTCTGGTCCCCTGGCTGGGCTCTGCGTGTGAGGGAGGGGCAGAGAAATAGGAACTGGGTTTTTCTTTAACAATGTATTCCGGGGAAAAATATTTGTGTGCCTGTGTTGTCAAAGATATATTTACTGACAGGTATTTTGAAATAAATTACCAAAATAAATGAAAGTGGTTATTTTGACAAAGAACATTTATACATTTTTTTCAGAATTTCCAAGAGAACCGAAAGATAGTGTTCTTGGTATATTATTTTAATGAAGACCTTGAAAGAATAAGTAAAAACAATGAACATCCATGCATCAAATAATTAGGATAAGGAAGACATATAGCATATATGTAACTGGTCCATTGTTTCAATGTCCACAAATAATATATATTATTTTCTCCTGTTCTGTGCAATGCCTCAATATGCAATCCTTCTGGTAAGATCACATCCACCATGGAAATTTGCTTAGACATGAATATTGACAAGTTTGTAAAGAGATCAGTAAGCATCTTTTACATTCCCCCCGCCCCCGTATTATATGTTTTACAAGGCTTTTGAATAGAATAGAATAGAATAGAATAGAATAGAATAGAATAGAATCTACAAAAAACACAAACTGTAGCCTACTTTCTACTTGCAACATTTAATATCTCTGCCATCTGAACCATCATGCCAAGATGGCACATAGCACCCCTTCCAAATCACTTTGCTAATTTGTAATATTTGAAAGATCCCTTCTCTGAATACTGCTTGCAGGATACCACAGAAATCTAAATTTCAAAGGGAACCTGCAACAACACTGAGGAGTTTTTCAACTGATATAAAATAATCTATTCTCAGAATTGTATACATTAATATATAGTACATAGGCCTACAAACATTTTTTATAGAAATGCCTCCTAAAAGTTGTATGTCCCTATCATAGTGTATTTGAGAAGTGTCTCACCATCAGAGAAAAATGTAGAAATAGTAGTGCATATCTTTCCCACACGGTAAGTCATGTGCACACACCCATTTTTTTTCATACTGTGTGTTCCCTGCTACCCATACCATGATCAAATCCATGACCTAGAAGAATTCTATAGTGGGTTGAGGGGTCTGATATTACCAGCAAAGTGTTTAGCTACCTTGCCAACCTTGAATGGGAGTACAAAAAGCTAGACATAAAGAGATATTGCAATAATTTAAAAATAATTGACGTAGTAATTCTTTTTTTAGGGACATTGAACATATTAAAGTTATTGAAATTATTGGGTTAGTTATGTTAACTTTAATAAAATAATGTCCTTTATATAGAACACAACTCTGAGAAATGTGAATAATGCTATGAACATGCTTTAAGGTTTTGATGATACAGAGGAGTCAAGTTTAACTCATAAGGTTCAATCCCGCAAACACACTGAAAATTTTGCTTACCACCTTGAATAAAGCCACTGATGCCAATGTATTCAGTACTCAAAATAGCATTTGCAGGATCAGATCCATAGTTATTCCTAGTTTTATATAAATTATGTCCATAAGATTTGAGGTTCTCTGTGCACTAGTTAGAACACTCATGAGCTACTTCCAGATTAAAATTAAAGTTCATCCAGAAATACGATATATAAAAAGGCAATGGTTACCAGAAGAAACATAATGATAAAAATACAAATAGGACTGATAATTTATAATAAAACTCCGAATTTCAAGGAACCCTATTAATCTACTCTGCTATTGTGATCAGAAAATGAAAAGGGGTAGAGAAATATTTTCTGCAGCTGTTCATACAAACTAAAATTAGGAATCAAAGATTAGAATTTTTTAAATGCAAAGTATCACTGAACAATTGTAAAGCATTTTGAAGCAACATACCTGGAGCATTTGAAAAAAAATACTGGAAAGAGGAGGGGACAAGTAAAAGATGTGGTAATACAAAAAATGGAAGAAGAAAAGACAAGGAAGGTGTGGTAAAGGGAAAAGAAGAAAGGGAGGACTTGACAGTCTGGCTTTTGATCTCACCAGAACAGCAGGAGAAATGGGAGAAAGTGAACAGAGAGTAAACAGAGAAAGAAAGCAGTAAGGAGAAGATGGAAAGAGTATTGTGAATCATACCTGTCATGGGGATGGCCTGGCAGCTAGTGATTTAAATACTAAAATAAAAAGAGTATATTGTTCACTAATATTTAAAATCAACCTCTTGAAAAGGATATGAATGTACCAAAATTTTAATAGCTATTTTTCTAAGAGGATTGAAGGGAGTTAACATGTACACGGCAGAGGTGGCACTGAATCGGAAGATTGCCTTCCCTCTATTCAATACTATAAAAGTCTGGAAAAGAAAACAAAATGAAAAACTGTATTAAGAAAACATGTACAGTGTGGATTTTTATACTGTGCATCAGTTGTTCTTCATCATTATTGACAGTTAACTGAATTCTGCTCTCATTTACACTTCTATAGACTTCATCACTTCATGTCTCGTTCGCCTAACACGTAACATAGTCTCCAACTGAATGTCTACAAGTAGAATTGTACGAAAACATTTCAACAGCATAATTTAGAAAACACAAATTCTCCACATCTTATTTGACAGAAGTGTACATGACATTTGTTATTAGTGTATTTGTGCCTAGTTTATAGTGCAAATTAAGAAATGCTAAACATAATTGTTATACGGAGTCATTAAAACTTCAGAATTCCTTATATCTGGTATCTGCCATAATTATGGTAATATCCATATAAGTTAATGCTGCGGTGGACTGGTAAACACCAATGAAAAATCAGGCCATTGGTGATTTGCAAACCTATCTCCAATAAAAACAAGCCTTTGATGGCCTGATTTTTCAAAGGTGATTTGCAAACCTATCTCCAATAAAAACAAGCCTTTGAAAACCAGGCCTTGAGTTCTAAAAGGCACATGCTGTATGGATATGTTCTCACTCAAAGTTAATTTTTTTCACAAAAAAGTACTACTAATTTTTTATTTATCATTATGCTTTTTTGCCCATGAATACATCTGCCTTCATATTTAATGATTTTAAAGCTTATCTGTGCTAGCTAATTACCATACAAAATTCAGTGATGATGTGTATTTCTATTCCTATCCACTGCCTACAACTTCAGTAATAGGTTATATATTTTGATTGTTAAAATGGCATTTATTAGTGGAACAGCTTAGACTGAAATATTTTCTTAAAATGAGACAAGCCAAGAAGCCTCAATTTTTTATTCAACACACATTATACACCTAAGTCTCTGAATTGTTTGTATTCTACAAAAACAGAAGGGGCCAAGATAAGACTGGTCTGATAAGGCAAACTCACAGGAAGAAGAGGCCTGAGCTGTTTTCCTTCCCAGGGAGGAGAAAGCCATCATATGAATGTTTGTGCTTCTTGATTGTAACTTTGCACTGCAGACAGCACAGGACATCTCAAAAAGGACATTAGCCAGTGTAGCTGGTAGTATTGCCATTGACCCCACTGCATCGGTTAGGATGGGATGACAGCACTTGAAGAGGCATGCAGTGCTTTATGTATAGTTATAGAAACTGCTGCTGCTGTATCCTTGGATCACGGTACTTGCCTCCACCAGAATGATGCTACAGCTTTTAAACCACACATTGATTCTTAACCCCAGCCCTCTTCTGACTCCCGGAACCATATTCTAATCCTTAATGAGGCTTTATTTTTTCTCCACAGTACACCTCATTTGCTTTTCACCACACTTTTGCCCCATTCTCTCCTTGTTTCCCTTGGGACCTCACCCCTTTATTCCAGAAGATTCTAGCTGAAATCCTGAGCTCCTCACTTGTTTTCTATTGCCTGTACTTAGACAAATTCTTACCGAACTCATTATTTGTGTGATGCAGGCTCACTGACATACATTTATGAAATGAAAATGGAGCCTGACCTACATGTACAAACTCAAGGAAAATCAGCGAAAATTTAAGAGAAATTCAGATCATAATGGATAAACTTCTAAAGCTTTTAATTTCTGCAAAAACTAGCAGAAAAAATATCAATAATTATTTTTCTGATGTCTAAGGCATGGTGATCTTGAGGATAAGTTTAAGATTTCTAGTGGTGAGTCCTAAGTCATTATTATTGGAGCATTGAGGGTGTGGGAAGGGAAACCTATCAGCTGGTCCAAAATCTTGCTTGTTTTACTCCCAGACTTTAACAGGACTAGTCTCTTAAGTAAGGCAAGCAGAATATGATCCTAAATCCAAAAAACTTCATTTTCAAATATAACTCTCCATTTAGCCACAGCATGAAATTTTTGTAAGTAAGTGCACTTCAGAGTACATCATTGAGCAAATAAAGACATATTTCTCCTTACAGCTTCTGTTTCTCTTAAGCTTATTTAATTAAGATACTGCTGTAGTCTCAGAACTGAAAATTATTTATGGGGATTTGATCTATTTCTTTGGTTTGATCGGTTCAATAGCAGTTTCTTTTGGCTTATCCTGTGATGGGATAGGTACTCTGTTGCTGGAATAGGTACAATGCACAGCCCAAAATGTGAAGATATGAGAGACTGGAGGAAACCAGATCTATCTATACAAAGACTTAGTATTTCTATACTTCTCTGCCTGGCCCCAATGGGACACATTACAGGATTCTGCAAACATTTTTACCTTTATATAATTCAATAAAAATGGCATATTTCAATAAAACATTTTAAAGAGTGTAATAAAGATTTTTTATGTTATGGATACTCTGGCAAGGAGCCCTTCCTCTCCCCATATTCCTGATGCAAGATCTCATTTGAGCCCTCTATTATAGCAACCTTATTCTGGATAAGAAATATGCTTCAAAGACTAACAGTCCTTTACCTAAATTATCTAGAAAGATTATAAAATATCTCTGTAAATTATAGGGTAAGGAGATCCATTAAGAGCACACAGGCTCAATATCTCTGTCTACCTCCTCACACCTGACACACAAACAGTGAGAGAATGGATCAGGAATAAAACCAAAGTTTTCCACATAATAGCAAAGAAAACAAGCAAGAAAGCCATCTAAAGTGGCTTCTTAATGGATTTCATAATGAAAACCCTGATACCCTTAAATGATCATTTCACACTTAGGGTACGTCTACATTGCCCACTTATTTCAAAAGTGTGGCCTAATGGGCAAGGTATTGGGATTCAAATACATGGATGCTTAGTTCAAGTTCTGCTTGTGGCCAAAACTTCCATCTTGGGGGAGGTCTAGGCTGGATATTAGGAAAAACTATTTCACTAGGAGAGCAATGAAGTAATGGAATGGCTTACATAGGGAGATGGTGGAATCTCCATCCCTAGAGGTTTTTAAGTCCCAGCTTGACAAAGCCCTGGCTGGAATGATTTAGTTAGGGTTGCTTTGGGCAGGGGCTGGAGTTGATGACCACCTGAGGTCTCTTCCAGACCTAGGATTTTATTATTCTAAGCTATTCCAGAAGAAATACTCAAAAATAGCTTATTTTAAAATAGCAGGTCTACTCTACATGGAAGCCTCAACATTTGTCTGAGGCAGGCTTCCCTAATGTGGACATGCTACCTCAATTTAGAGCCTCAGGAGGCACTGGGGAGTAATTACTTTGAATGGCTCTGGGGAGGAGCTATTTTGAAATAGCAGCAGTGGAGTGTCCACACTGCAGCTATTTCAAAATAGCTATTTAAGAATAGGCATCATTCCTTGTGGAATGAGGCTTACAGAAGTTAAAATAAGCTGTCTGTTATTTCACATTTATTTCAAGGTAATGGAATTGCTGTGTAGATGCTCACATAGTTATTTTTAAATAACGTCAGTTATTTTGAAATAGCTGTGCTGTGTACACGCACCCTTAGAAAATACTGAAAGCTACAATTAGAGTGAAATGACAAGTATATTATAATAAAGCTAACAGTGCATCACTGCACTCAAACCAGGAGCCCGATCCTGCAAAGGTGTTTTACTAGATGTAGTGCCAATGAAATCAACCATTGGAGCACGACTTCTGGGTTGGGCCCAAAGTAGTGGAATAAAGAGAATCCTGAAGAGGATCTATAGCATTTAATATTCAATCTCTGACAGAAACATTTAGTCTTAAGAAATACTCACTTTTTTATTGATATAATATGGGTCCAGATCCTCCAAGGGCTCGGACACCATTCCTGGAGGTATGTCACCGTAAATAAATGGCAGTGACTTTCCCGCCTCCAGGTCACTGTTTGGTTTTGGTCCATTTTCATCATCATCATCTTTACGTTCTTGTTTAGACTTCTTAGCTTTTTCTTCAGCAATACGTTGTTCAATAGCTGCAAGTGACTCTCTCGTGAAATAGTGGAAGCTGTCAGGTCCTGGTGGTACCAGCACTGATTGTGCCATCTTTTCATCCTGCACCTCTTAATTACCGTTTAGCCTCTCACATAAAAAAGTGCTAAAAGTATAAACACACAGTAAATATTAGACCACCACATAAGCAATTTAAATAGATACATCTTCATAATCATAACTCTGTCTGTAGGACAATTTATTAAATAGGGTACTTATATGAAAACAGTAAATTGTTCAATTGATTAGCTATTGATTTTTTCTTTCAAGATAGGGCATATGACTTTTCATCTGGTCTCTTTTAGATGTCTGGAAAAGTAGGAAACCTGTAAAAAGTTAGTTTGGGGTTATGAAAAATGATGAATCAGCAACTAATATCACAGGATATTTTCCTGCATCCTCACTGGAAATAAATTAACAGTTAAAAAGTGTTTATTATGTGGAGTCAGGAAGTGGGAGCATACAAAACAATTACCATTTTAACACTATCCTACCATCATGAAAGGTCTTACATCAAATTAATCCTCCATCCATCAAGAGGTGTGGACATGGTTTCCTCATGATCCCATGGTGCCAGAGGAATGCCTGATAGGCTACATCTACACTGGCACCCTTTTCCGGAAATGCTTAAAACGGAACAGTTTTTCCGTTATAAGTATTTCCGGAAAAGAGCGTCTACATTGGCCACAGATGCTTTTCCGGAAAAGAGCCCCAGTCGTCATTTTCGCGATCAGGGCTTTTTTCCAGAAAAGACTACTGGGCTGTCTACACTGGCCCTTTTCCGGAACAGTGTTCCTACTGTGCTGTCTACACTGGCCCTTTTCCGGGACAGTTTTTCCGGAAAAGGACTTTTGTCCGAACGGGAGCAGCATAGTTTTTCCGGAAAAACAATGACGATTTTACATTAGATCATCATTGCTTTTCTGGAAAAGCAAGCGGCCAGTGTAGACAGCTCGCAGCTTATTCCGGAAAAGCGGCTGCTTTTCCAGAGTAAGTGGGCCAGTGTAGACACAGCCTATATAGAGTGTGAGATGCTCCCTCTTTTCAGGGACAAGGACATTAGCTTTACAGAGCCGAAAGTTTAGGGTATGTCTACACATAAATAGCTACCCCGCATCTTCACTAGCCACCCATTATGATGAAATATTATTCGAAATAACGGGCATGATATTTCAGCATCCCAGTAACCCTCATTCCACAAGGGTTAAGGGATGTCTCAAAATAGCACTTTATTTTGAAATAAACTTGAAATAAGTTCACAATTTGCATAGCGCAAATTGCATATTTTATTTCAAGTTTACAGTGCAGTGTAAACATAGCCTTGGGGAATAAGGAATCAGGCTTAGGTATCTGAACACAAATCCCTTGCCTGGTAACATATCATGTGCTGAAAGAATTTCTGTATTAAACCCAAATTGGGTCTCATGACTAAACATCCTCAAACCTTTTATTACCTGTTGGTATCTAAATTGTGTATGTTTTGCATAATTTTCAGAACTGAGAACAGAATCATTTTCTTTGAAAGCCACCTTATACTTCTGCCAAAAATGACAACTGGAAAATATTTCTGATGCAGAGATACTATGATCTGAAATCATGAATGTAATCTGTGCATTTGATAATTTTCCGAAGATTTTTTATCTTAATAGGCAAATTATATTATCTGTGTAATAAAATAGAAAATGTAATTCAAAATTAACAGCTTCAGTGTCAGATGATATATCAAACAAATAATGATAAACTTAAAATGATGCGACAGAGAGTACTTGAATGCTTATTTTTTCATTTCCCTACTATGTACATATAGACTTGTTCGACTTCACCACAGCTGCAGAAACTTCATGCTTTCAGAGCTTTCTGAATAAAAGCTAACACCATGTTATTTTCTATGCTTCCATCTTCACGACACACATACCCATCTCCTCCAACAACACACAGAGGCATTCTACAACTTTTTCAGGTAGATCTGTGAAACATATTTTCCGATTGTAGTCAAATGCACCTACTGCATCCTACTGTGGATAATTTGTAGAAAATTGCAATTGGAACATATGTACACTCAGGTGGCAGCAGAAGGGTTAATTATGAAAATGAAAGTGGTCCTACTGCAGAATCCTTACAGATTGTATTGCTAATGATAGAAAAAGACAGACTCCTCTCTAAATACTATAGCTTCCAATTAAAAAATGAATTACCAGTGTAGATTCTTGCACCTGTACGGATTTGGAATGTCATCATAAAGAATACAGCTAAAATTCCATCATGCCTTTTTTCTTATTCTTTTTTTTAATTCTCCTTCAGCAGACCACACCTAACTTCCTGCTAAAGGATCCTGGTTACTGAAGTAAAAACTGGCATTTCCTGTGTAAGAAACTACTAGATGCTGTAATTGTAACCACCATTAGATGGCATTCATATACGATTAGAAGAAACCAACTGCAGAATTCAGTTACTTATACTTGCTTAACCTGCAGCTTTTGGATTGAAACTCCTGCTGCTACAGAATCTCTCTGGTTTTCACGACTCCTTAAATTCATGTGACGCCTGTTGGTGCTGAGGTCACAGATATTAAAAGTGTGAAAATGACACTGAACCAAAGAGAGATGGAACAGAGAAATGGGTGTTGCCCAGGCTGGCTACAATTAAGTCAATTCTTGAGACCTCATATAGTCTGGATTAATTTAAAATCAGGATTTACATTATATTTCTGTTCTAAATCAATTAGATTTAGTTGATGTCTTTTCAATTCAAGCAGCAAAGAAATGTGGCCCTCAGGTGCAAGTTGTGTGCCGTGGGTGGCAGATGAGAGCTCTGTGCTGCACTGAATCTGTGTTCAGGAATGCAGCCAGGATTTACAGTGCCCAATAGAAGATACCGAAGCAGGAACTTCAGAAACTCAACCCTAATGCAGCCCACTGAGTAAATCCTTTTGAGCTCCACTCCAAATGTTACTTTATGTCCTTTTCTCTCTCCTGCTTTCTTTGCATTTTCTATTCTTAACCCTTTTCTTTGTTTTTATTTGTATTTATTTTTTCATTTGCTTACTTGGATAATTCCCCTTTTCTTATCACTCTTCCACTATGTTCTATCACTCATATTTTACATCTATACTTACCCTTACACATTCACTCTCAAAAACCTCATTCATTCATTCATTCCCTCAACTCATATACATTGCATTATCCGGCAGATACTGCCTTTCTCTTGGGTTGTGAGAAAGAGCCCAAAGAACAGTGGACCACTGCAATTTGAGGCTGGAATAAAGAAGGGAGAAGTATGGAAACCATGAGGTGCAGGAAAAGTCCACTACAGTGGCCTTGACAAGACAAAATCAGGAAGAATGTAGCCATGCTACAGCTTTAAGGGGAAAGGATTATGAAACAGAGCTCCAGATTTAAAAAAAAAAGATGCCACTCTGGTGGGGAGAGAGAGAGAGAGTACAGAGGCTGCAGCCAGAGCCATTTCTTCAGGTAGTAGAAGACCAAGGGGTCCAGAGCTTCAGGAGGAGGTCTGGAAGTAAAATAGCCGTGTGATTTTTCATTTTGGTCCAGAGCCCTGGAGTAAATCATGCACTGCCTAGCTGCCAGCTAGGCAAGGCTTGACGTGAAGGTGTGGTGGAGGCATACCACCCCAAACTTAAGACAAATGCTTTGGGTGTCCTCCCACCAGCTGTGGCGTATATGCTAGTTCTCAACAAATAAAAATGTAACTATTTTGATTATTTCACTTTGCTTTGGCACTAATTATTTCATACCACATACTCCTTTAAATATACTTTACACAAATAATTTAAATCATGCAAATATACAATTCAGATAGTAACAAGCCATGAATGAAGTTAATATGCTCAATTTACAAATCTAAATACTTTAAATCATGAGATTTCTGTTATAGGATCTAATGTCATGTGGATTATATACATACATACACATATAAGCTCAGATAAACCAAATACCTCAAAAGCTTGACTAATCCACACAGTTTGGGTAAGAAGTCTGATTCCATCATCACTATAATGTAAGATAATTAGCACTAATTTCTGCAAAGGCCAACCTATATCTAGAAGTACAAAACAACACACATGTACAGAATAAAGACACGGGAAAAAATGGACCAAGTGGGGGACAGAAACTTAGTCATGGGGGAAACCTGCAATTTTACTATGGTTCTAAATGCAATAGTTGTAGAATTCTCCCAAGACTAAAAGAAGACAATAGCAAGATACAAGTTAAAGGATGGAAATAGCAAAAAGATGAAAAAAATATGTTTGCATTACTAGAAAAAGGAAGATCTGAAGTCTTGATCCTGCAGATGACAAGAAAATCCCCGTGGAATATTTATAGCAGTAAACTCTGGTCTCTGATATACCTCTTTTCATGACTAGATACTACACTTTTAAAAGTGTGGTCATTCTATTAGTAGATAATTTGCAAAAGCTAGCTAAAGAAATTTGAGATGTGTGATTTTAGTGCACTAATATGTGGACCTGAGATTTTCACCCAAGCTCTAACATCTGCACACAAAGAAGGGCAGTGGAGAGAGAGAGAGAAAGAGAAAGATAAGCAGTAGCAAAGTGTGAAGGACACTGTGGGTATGACTGGGGGGGGGGGGGGGGGATGTCCAGGGACCACATTTGCCTTTCTGCTTTTTTTGTGGAAGAGCAAACACGCTCTTTTGGAAGCCCTTTTATTCCTCGTTCCGACATTTGGCCCAGTCAAGCAGTGGACATTTCACATGTAAACTTCTGAAAATGTCCTTAATGTGCTTCTTTTTTGCCACAAACATCACTTCTGTTTTGTCTTTTACTTATGCAGAGCAAAAATCACCCCTGTGATCACACAAGGGGTGGAATTTAAGTGGAGCACTGGTGGTATTCAGAGCCTTGCGTAGGAGCTCTGCACTGGATTAAATTTCACCCTCGGACAGGCAGATCTGAGAAAACCCTGTCATGCTTTTTCTGACATTCTAGGAACATTCTCTACTCCAGTTAAAGCAATCCTGGTTAATAAACTCACAAGGAAAACAAATTACTAGCTTTTCCATCAGGAACAGCTAAAAATAACTATGTCCATTAAATGTAAAAGTGGAGAATTTAAATGCACAATT